GAGAAAATTTGGAGACGTTCTTCAATGTTGTGGCAAAAAACGTGCTTTAGCTTGTAACTTGAAACTCGGAGGCCCCATTGACAGAAGAGTCAGAGGCAGAGTTCCTCAGATTCTCCAGTGCCGCTGCTCATTGACCTCCAGCTCAGAGCCGTGTGGCGAATCTCCAAACTGTTGTGACTCGGCGCGGATCGCGGCCCACCTTTCACTCAACACGCTCTATTTGGAAGACCGTTCTCCTGGATGTGATCGCTCTATGAAGCCTCTCTTTTCGCTGACAACGGCAGCAACATGCATGTCAAGTGTAAAAGCCTCACCGCCAAGTTCTAAAAGCTCGATTCTAAACGCTGAGTCGTGGTTTTATAGATTTGAAGCGCCATGAGGCCAGCTCCCTCAGACAGACGCTCCATCGTTCTCTTACCAGTTTGGTAATCAGGCCTCGGTCTCTTCATGTTAGGATCTTGTGGTTCCAGTACTGATTGTTTGTTTCTTCTACAGAAAGATGTTTGCTTCCTTCTTGAAGAGCGAGCCTGTTGTAAAAAAAGCAATTAATCAACTGATCACACGATATATTAAAATGAGCTCGATAATTTCCATTGTGATGATTAATACAGTATTTTAACTCCCTTTACTGGGAAATCATAAACCATTTATGGGTTTGGTTATGTGTGGTTTTTATTTCCTCTTCATTGTTGTTGTTTTTGTTGCGTTTCTTTTTCTTTTTTAGATTTAAAATATCTTCCACCTTCAGTATGGACTTTTTTTTTTTTTTTTTACAAAGTTAACCCAAATTGAGATGGCATCATGGGCTTGAACAGCTTCACTTACAGGCCAACTCCTTTTCCCACAGTCCACATAACAGTCTGTTTCCAGCGTCTCATCGGGTCGATTTTTACAATCAGAGCGAATCCCCAGTGGGCCACGAGAAGCAGCTTCGTTGTCCATCGCTGTGCAGGTTGTTCCAGAAACACGTGGCTGCAAAGGTTCAAAGGAAGAACAAAAATTAGATTAATTGCGTCAAAATTTTTAACTCGTTGAAATACATTTTAGACCTCATCGTTTGTCTCGTCATTGGATCATTGATCAGTCATGGCTACGTCTTCCAGCTAAGAAAACAGACATTTATTCAATACATCTGAATATTTTTGGAGACTTTATTCATCCTATCCCTACGAGAAACACATTACATGAATTTAATTACACACAGGATTTACTTTTGCTAGCAAAAATTCTGCTTACAACTAAAAAGAACATGTTAAGACAGTTAAGATAATATGAATATTAATATATTACAGCTTCTTTAGACATCTGCTCTGTTTCTCCAACAACGGAATTTTAATAACAGGATGAACATCTCAACACAGCGACTCAAGCAGAGACTGTGGATCATGACTGCATTTCATTTCCCAGATATCTAATGAGAAAAAAACCTGAAGGTAATTATCAGCTACGCCTGCTCCGGTCCCTGTTTTTCAGCCGAAAAACGAAACAAAACCGGTTCCTGCAGCATAAAGAACGTCTGCCAAGTTAATGTCTGCCACATTCCAGGAAATCAAAGGATCAAAATGTGTTCCGACTTCTGCCAGTATTATTTATGATTGACTTTTGCACCTTCTGACAGCAGTAAATTACTCTTTTACAGTGATTTATAATTTTGACAGTACTACAATTTGTCTTCATATAGCTTCAACAGCTCAAGGTCAATAAAGTTTATAACAGGAATACAACTTAAACTGCCAGCTGTAGTTTTAAAACCAGCTGGGTACTTGAGATTTTACTCTGTCTGGAGATGCTCCGTAAAGATTTCAAAGGAAATGTATTTATGTTTGTGGCTGCAACGTGATAATTTATGGAAGAGTTCAAAATGTATGGAAACGTCTGCAGGCCATATGAGCTAAATGCAGATTTTTTTCCCCCCAAGTGTTTGACATAAGATCTTTTTAAGGGCTTTTTTTAATGCTGTAAATGAACTTGGCTTGCCATTACATCCATCAACAAAGGACTAAAAATAATAAGCACTTAAAACAAAGAAGGATGGGAGGAGGCAGGTGGAGGGATGAAAACAAAGAAAAGTGTGAGCCGGACAGATCGAAGAGAGGAGGAGCAGAGGACGAAGACGGATGATGAGGGACAGTAAGAACAAGGTAAAGTGAAAACACTAATAAAAAATATATTTTAATTTTTTTTCATTTTGTATTTCTTGTATTTCTCAGATTTGGTGTCTAATTAGATCATAGCTAATAATCATGAGTGAAAAGTGAGCATTTGTGATCTGCTGCAGTCAGACAATGTGTTGTTCAGTATCACTTAGCAGCTGCAAGTGATTTCTGCTTTAAAAGTTTCAAAATATATTTAAATAAATAAATCAAAGTCAATGATTAATGGAGCCTGTTGTGTCCAGTCCAATTCAAACACTCAGAACAGTTTACTTCTGTCCGAGCACAAAGTCCATGTTGTGTTTTTTCTGATGACGATGTTTCTCTTCAAATTCGAATTCAAGTTGAAATTTAGACTCGCTCCCCTTTGTTAGAAATATATTCTAAGTTTAAAACTAGATTTAATCTTAAACTCATATTGAGTGATAAATGTACTGTCCACAAAAATATATTGCAAGAACACTGTGTTTATATACGTCCATATTATCCTGATTAGACATGTATAAGTTATGCATGTGTTTGTATGGAAATAGTGTGTTAGAAAGAGTGTGAATGTGCACAGTCATCGTTCCATATCTGATTAAACAGTAGAACTACCTTTAGCAATCATCACTTTATCTTCCTGTTGTCAGTAAGTTACCAGTCCAGCAGAATGAATGAACCATGTTTGGATATTCTTCTCTCTATTTTTGTTTGTTTCCTTGTGGGACTTTCTGTCACATCATTAAACAAAAATCTCCAACATGGTTTTTCCCATGGATTGAAGACAATGAAAGATCCCAGCTGGAGATAAAAGTCACGTTTGTTGTCTTCTGCGAGAAGAGGTTACTAACAGGTCACCAAAATCTGATGCAGATCCGAAGCCGAGCTCGATAAGTGACCCGATTCTGCAACTCAAAGGACTTCATTCACGTTTGCCACGTTGTCCACTAAATGTGTGAAGGGCTTCTTTTGAAGGTTGGTTAGAAAAAGACATTTTTACAGGAAACACAACCATCACATTTTGAAGTCTTGTTATATTACAATCAGTTTTGTTAGAAAAGATTTATACCCATTAGAATCACTTATGCTAAGTCAGATTGATGCTAAATATGAATTTTAATCTTATTTTATTTATTCTCAAAAAGGAAGGAGAAAATAAAAAAAAGAAATATTCTGTGAACTGGCTGGATCCTACTCATCCTGTGCAGCACATAAGACTGGAAATAAAAGCCTTTTCCTCTCCCTGATCTGTTCACTTTAATCGATTCCAACCTGGAGTAGGAAAAGTCAAATCTGAATTAGTTAAGTTGTGAAAGAGTACTTTAGAGTACATTATTACATTTCTTGGGTTCATATATAGGGACTCACTTCTTTGATAAATTTCCAACGTGGAACTGTTTCTGTAAATACAAAACTCTGATACTTTGATACAACGCTGTTCTTGATCCTGCCTGTGATTCTCCAACATCCCCTCAGCTGCTTTAAGCCCATCTGTAATTTGTTGCCTTTTACATCTTCATCCTCCGATTGGTTGAACTGCCCAAACGCCTTTTCCTCATTCACCTTCACATCTGTGTGATTCTTAACATTTTCCACATGTTAAGATCTTTAAAAACAGATTCTAGGAAAAAATCTGGAAAAAAAAAAATCAAATATCAGTTTGAATTTTTTTTTATAGAACTGAATATTCAACTGGGTGTCCTACATTTTTAATGGATTTACAGAGTATTTTTTGAATAGTTGAGAAATGCTACGTTTTTCTTTTGTTTGTTTGTTTTTTTTTTTTGGTAGTGTGCTATTATAGTTACTATTTTAGTTATAATTACCATAAAAAAGTCAGATTTTGCTGCTAAAGACTTGCAACCCAATACTTAATACTTTATTGTATTAAGTATTAAGTATCGGGTTAAGTATTAAGATTTTAGTCAAAACTGTGTTTTGACTAAAATCCGAAAGATTAGAGTCCCAGTTGACGCCGTTTCAACTAAAAACCTAGAGGTTGGAGTCCTTGTCAAACAGTGTTTTTGACTAAAGTCCAAGAGGGTTAGAGCTCCAGTTAAACATCAGTCAAACGATATTTAACCGATTTCCTAAAAGGGATGTGGGTTTTAATGTTTTTAATGTTTTTATCTTTTTTTTTTTATCTTTTTCAAAATGTCTTTCTCTTTCTCACAGTTTTTTTCAATGTCACATGCTGTTTTTATTTTAATTATGTGAAGCACTTTGAAATGCCTTGCTGCTGAAATGTGCTATACAAATAAAATTTGATTGATTGATTGATCCCAAGGTGGGACAGTCCACTTGTGCAGCACCTTACACAAAAAAAGTGAAGCACAAATGAATGACTGATACTCTCTACTTTTCCAAAAAGTACAGAGTATCAGTCTGTATTTGTCATTCGCTAAGTTGGCAATATTAGTATTTTTTTTACTTAAATACTACAATAAGTGTGAAGACCACGTATATATCACTGTATATTTGTATCATAGTGCTAATACAAGTTTTAAAAATATTAAACAAGCTGTGTGTTTTTTTAATGGATGCCGGTCCATGTATTTTTGATTTGCTTTGATGCATTTTTTTTTTGTTTTCACACAGAATATAATCCAGTCATCCTTGATAATGAGAGCCCGGATCTGTCTGAACCGTTTCACTCCGAAGCACGGCGCCATCGCTCTGGTCTTGGCTGTGTTTGCTGTGAGCTTCATGCTCTACAATGTGAACGTCTTCTATGAGAAAAGTTCTACATCAACAGAGGTGAGTATTCGTCATTTTTAAACTTATCCTCCATCCTTCCAAGCTGGTCAAAAAAGCTGTTTTGATTGAGACAAAATGTTGGCAGGTTATTTATTTGTTGACCAAAGCAAAAGTCTTACTCATTTGGGTTAAAAAAATTATATCCCATACTTTGTTCCTAAAAGGTGTGAAGTTGCAAAAAAAAAAAAAAAAAAACTATTCTGTATAAATCAGTTTAATAACAAAAAAAAATGCCTTTTAGGATATAAACATCTTGTGGATGCTCACTTTATGCCTCTTCAGAAAGAGCACAGCAGAATTAGTGTTCCAGCTTTTCTTTAAGATGTCATTTCCACTGTGTTCTGCTTTTGACATTAATATAATAATGTCAAATCCATAATATATAATGTTAATATTGAATTTTGACTTTTCCTTAACATTTTGACTTTCCTTGAATCAAATTTTCACCTTATTCTTTATCGTCCGATGTTTTGGGAATAACTTTTTTTTTTTCTCCAGGTTAGCCTATTGTCTGAATTCTATTCTATACTGAGAAAACATTTGACTTTTAAAGGAGACAATAATCAGTTCTGTGAAAAAAAAATAAAAAAATTACCAGGCACAAATAATTTTATTGCTACCAATTCAATATCAGACATCCATCTGTTACTTGGAAAACTGATCTGTGCTGGGTTCTGTTGGGTGGTGCTTACCTGCAGGATCACTGCATGGTAAATTGCAAAGTACATCATGAACAAGTCGCCAGCATGTCGCCGGGCAACACAAACAAAAACAGTTCGCACGCAATGTCTCCAAAGGGAGATTTAAGCAAGCTGATTAGCCAAACATGCATGATTAACCTGTCATTCACAGGTTGTCATTCACAATGGGCCGCTGTCCTGCAGTGTTTAGATGTGCCACAGGTAAAAAACAGTCGAATGAAATGGCTTAATTACCTCCTCCCTGTGTAGATCGGTTCTCCTGACCCTTGCTAATGACCTAATTATTCTTTTCAGGTGTGGTGCAGCAGAGGCACATCTAAAAGTTGCAGGACAGAGGCCCTTGAGGACTGGAGTTTGACACCCCTGTCACGAGAGGACCCAAATTTGGGTCCTCTCGTGAATGACAGGTTAAACACGCCCCAGGTCAAACTGATCCAGAACATTATTGGTGTACCTCAGAAACAAACATAAGAGGAGGATTAAATAATTGAAGTTTTTGGATCCTCAAGTGAGAAGTTCCTGCAGTCGATTTCATAATCCATAGGAGCTCCAAACATAAAAAAAATCCCAAAAAACTATTCAATAATTTGTAAAGAAACAGTGTGTGTGTGTCTGATACTCAGTCTGTTTGATCTCCAAATTGTCCCCCTAGCCAGAGAAAAAAATCCCCATCGCTGTGGCCTCGGCATATTCCACCGTGACTCCGATACGTCTCATGAAGCCTCCGAAGTCCACCAGCGTCTGCTCCTTCCATTCAGTATTACCTCAAGACAATCTTGAGTTAAACCTGTTGAGGAGCTCCATCGCATGGCCTGAAGCACCACCTTTACCGTCCAACTTCTTTCTGAATGACACCAGTGATCCCGCTCACAGCACCTTCACCATTCTCCCACGTAAAGACGGTGGAAGTTGGCATATTGGCGACCAGCTGGAGGTTTTGATAAAAATGAACGACTTCCTTGGCCGCCCCAAGAAATCTGGCGGAGACGTCCTGTTTGCTCGGCTGCGCAACCCAAATGTTCGTGCAGGCGTGGCGGGGCGAGTGTCGGATCATGGCAATGGTTCCTACACCGCTGTGTTCCCTTTGCTCTGGGAAGGAAGAGCTCAAGTTGAGGTAAGACCGTCACTTTTCTTGTTCATTGCAGATGTGATTGACGTCAATTAAGGTTTCCTCTGCCACTGCCCAGAGCTTCTTGAGAATATTACAGCATATGTGGCAGATACCAGATCCCATTTCACAAGGCTCTTGTTGATAATTATTGTTCCTTGTCCCAAAAGGTGACTCTCGTCCACCCCAGTGAGGCGGTCACGGTCCTGCGAAAACTGAACCTGGAGCAGCCAGACAGAATATACTTTCAAAGCATCTTTCGCTCAGGCCGGGTTTCCGAGACTACCACATGTAATGTGTGTCTCAAAGCGCCCAAGGAAAAGTTGTGCAACTTCACAGACCCCTACACAGGCGAGCCCTGGTTCTGCTACAAGCCAAAGAAACTCAATTGTGACTCTCGGCTCACCCACGCCAAAGGAGGTTTCAATAAAAAACTGACACGAATGGAGGAGAAACTCTTCCAAAGGTAAAATGTAATAATAATTTATAATCAACCTTCTTTGGCGTGTAAAAGTATAAGTGGATGTGTTTGCATAATGTCCCAAAAAGATCATGTCCAAATCCAGGAGGTTTAGTCATGTTTGTTTTTAAACTTCACATACCTTAAAGTCATGCAAATACACAGGCAGGTGTGTCTGTAGATTCAGATATTGTACAGACTTTTGGAGTACTGTGGTGCATTACCTGTGCTCTTTAAAATTGCTGAAAGCATTTAATGATTCTTATGTTTTTGTAAACCTTTCAATTTGAACTAATTTTCTTTCACATAATCTAAACCAGGAAATAATTGATGTGATTCAATGTCAAACTGTGAACGATGTCGGGTTCAGATCTGTTTTCAACTGTATCAGTGTCAGGAATTAGGACAGAGAAGCTAGACGCTAACTGCATTCCTAGTTAGTGTCTAGATGTAGTTAGCGTTCCCACTGACTACATCTAGGAAGGTAGGAAAGACATGACTTGTTTCATCAATCAAATTTGCTTTGTTGTAGTGGAGTCAACAGCAAAGCAAATTTGCTGTTGACTTTGCAAATTTGATTGCAAAGTCAATCAAATTTGACTTTGCAATCAAAGTCAAATTTGATTGACTGATGTCAATTCTGGCATCAGGACTCTCCAACATCACCATCTCACCAAAACCTCAAGGTACAACCCACTTTCTACCTGTTACTCCATCATGTTGTGTTGTATGATTAGTAAGTCAGAACACAATCTTCAAATTTGATGTAATTTTCTCTATTTTTTTCAATGACTTTTTTAAATGCCATTTCATGAGGATTTTTTTACATGATTGTTTTTGTGTAAACTCCATTATTGTCTTCCAGAGGAAACCAATCAGAGTATAAAGACCAAGCCTGCTGGTTATTACTACCAGGGTGTATGGCGAGCACTGGACGGGACCAGGGTCCTCCAGTTCAACACGTCCACAGCAGTCAGTCAGTGTCTGAAAGGCAAGGTGCTCCACCTGTATGGAGACTCCACCATCAGGCAGTGGTTTGAATATCTAACAGAATCATTACCAGGTAGATGTCTAGAAGAAATGTGTGCCAACAGATTGTTTTGTTTTGCCTCCCCTCTTATTTGTTTCTCTCTGTTATAGGTCTCAAGAAGTTTGACCTGAAAACTCCAAAGCAAAATGGACCATTCCTGGCGTTAGACCCTGAAAACAACATCTTAGTGACGTTCCGCTGCCACGGTCCTCCCATCCGTTTTGGCACCATGCCTGCCAATCAAGCGCGTTACATCGCCAGTGAACTGGACAGTGTGATTGGAGGCAAAGACACTGTTGTAGTTATTGGAGTTTGGTCTCACTTCAGCACCTTCCCTATTGAGGTCTACATCCGACGTCTGCTGAGCATACGGAGGGCAGTGGTGCGGCTGTTGACCAAAGCGCCGGGTACGGTGGTCATCATCAGGACCGCAAACCCCAAAGCGTTGACAGTTTACGAGACTCTGACAAACAGTGACTGGTATTCCTTACAGCGAGATAAAGTCCTCAGGGAAATATTTAAAGGGGTCAATGTCCAACTGGTGGATGCCTGGGAGATGACTATTGCGCACCACCTGCCACACAGCCTCCACCCACAACTTCCTATTATAAAGAATATGATAGATGTTATCTTGTCCCACACATGCCCTGCTGCTGGTAACTCTGAAGGGGAAACAAAGCTTTAGAAATGGTTTGGGGTGGGTGTTCTGGTGCAATCTCTACCAAAAATTTAACTGTTAGCTGTTGGTTTGTCGTGAGAAATGATTTGTCTAAAATTCTATGTTCGGCTAACACGGCATTTCAGAAAAAGAAATCTTACTTTCAGTAAAACACGGTGGTGGTAGTGTGATGATCTGGTGCTGCTTCAGGGCCTGGTGAACTTGTTAACTCATGGAACCATAGTTCTGCTCCTTAGCTGAATATTCAGAAGGCAACAGTCTAGCCATCAATGCAGCATCATCACCTCAAGAGTATTTCTGTTGTGCATCAGGGAAATCAATTAATAAAAGACCAGCAACTCCATCTCTGAAAGACTTAAAACCATTGAGGATAGTTCATCTGAGGCACAAAATCAATTATTGTTTTGATGAAAACCAATGATTAGGAACTCGGATCCATCTAAAAACCTCGGTCTTGGTCCAGCTGAAGTGAACTCTGATGCAGTTTGAAGGCAGTGAGAATGCAACCCTTAATAAAGCAAGAATTTTACAGAATCTCAGAGGTTTCTGCAACACAGTCTGCTACAGGAACTTCAGAGAAAGGCTAAGACTATCTATAGTTACTCTTTAACCCTGTGGAGTCGCTGCCCGCCGTGTGGCGTACAAGCATGTGACGCATTAATAAGGCTTCGTAATAACATGGACGCATACCGAGTTTTCATTTCGACTCTGTTGGACAGCACGGACTTCAAACTTTATAAAAGTGGTGTTTTTATATTGGTTTTGTGGTTATTTACTTCAAAATAAAGCCAGAAATAAGATCGATCATTTCCGCCTTATTTTGTGGGGTCTAAATGTACCACATTTCGAAACAACCAATAAAAATGTGTTGACGGTCTGTTGCTAGGTAGAATGGAGACTCGCGGAAAGTGACGGGGGGTGATTTGGCTACGGCAAGAGACTAGGGCACAGTGATGCTGTGGATTTTACTAAGAGTGTTTCGATGGGTTTTTTAGACTTTAAGTGTGTTAGTTAGAGTTCATGGTGTGTGCAGGGTTAGTAGTAGTTTTGCTAGCTATCGCTATATGGCTTTATAGTGAGCGCTGACGCACAGAGAAGAGAAAGACTCCACGCCGGGATGGCCATTTAGACCTCGACTTGAACAATAAACAATCTGCCTGAATGACATGTCATCCATCATATAAAACATGTATGCATCAAACAATTGTTGCTCTTTCTTTGGGATGTGTGTGTGTGTGTGTGTGTGTGTGTGTGTGTGTGTGTCATAGTGTTTGGAGTATGTTAACATAGAAAGTCCTTACAAGCAAAAATCTGAATCTTCAATAAAACACTCCTGCAGTATGTTGAATAAAATTTACTCTTATCACAGTTCTTCCCTCCGTGGTAATTTGAACAAGTTCAAAAGCCCTCATTGGATAAGCGGCATAAAACATGAACAATGTGAACCAGTTAAGCATTTGACATGAGCAGAAACATGGCTGTCTACCCTGCTTCACCCATTCTGTATCACTCAGAACCTCTTTGCTCTTCAGACATCCTGATGATCAGGATATTCAGAGATGTCAGTTCTCTGTAACGTGTAAATATTTAAATCGGTTTGGTGCTTCAGTGACAGGGAGCAATGAAAGACAGAAACACTTCATCAGATACCATACCAGCATTTATTGCACAGATGATTGTTGTTGGCTATGCTTCATTAAACATTCATAATTTATTAAAGGGAGGGAATATGGATGCTGCAAGTCATTGCTCTTTACCTACAGTCGATACAATCAGCTGCTCATTTTCAAATGATAATGCAATAGTTTCTGGTTGTGTTAATTTTGAAACACTTGGTAAACTTTCCGCCCAACATTGCTTAACAAACAGCAGCATCCAAACTGAAGGCGTTAATACCAGCACATCTCACTGGATTTGAGTTTATGTTCTGGTCCGTGGTCGCTGTGAGTCGTCCTTCCAGATCACCTGATTCAAGTGACTGCATGACCTCCTCTGAATTGCATCAAGTACTGCAATCATTGCTGGATTTCTCCAGCTTTAGTTCATAATCTCCACTCTGAAGGTATAAACCACAAAAGTTATAGCTTCTAACAAAATATTGAATAAAAATCTGATTCTTTACTCGCATTTTTCATTCTCAAAGTGAAAAACGTTAAAGAAGTGCAATTCAAAAACTTTCAAGTCTCTTCATTCTGTCCTAACTGCATATTTCATCCACACATCTTCTGCTCGGTGGATGATGAATCTCCTTCAAAACAATTCTCAGTAAGCCGGACAGTTTCATCTCTGCGACATTCAAAGTACAGGAAAATATCCAAACGCCAAGCAGCAAGACCCCTGACAGGGATCTGAACCCAGAACTGTTAAGATGGGAGGATTTAGGGCTGGAACAGAATGCAAAGGAGAAAACAGAGTTTCAGTTCAGTTTATAAATAAAAAAAAATGGGGGGGGGGGAGAAACCTACAACAGGAGAAGACTTGCAGAAGAACAGCATGTATGAACAATGAGGGGAAGATTAGCAGCTGGGGAAGCAAAAGGAAGGCTGAGTATAAGAGTAATCACAGAAAACAGAACGGAGAGGAAATCTAACAAAATACACACATAAGTAGTAAATCTACAAAACAAATCCAATATTTAACCAAGAAATAACTGACATTACAGAAGGAATAAACAATGGAAGATATAAATATTCAATCCAACAGAAAAAAATCCAACACTCAAACAAGAAATAACTTAACTTACAGAAAGAATAAAGTGAAAATAAAGGAAATAATCAAAAGAAAAAATCAAAACCGAAAACAACTGAGCAACTTGGTGCAAAGCAACAGAGCTGCCAGCTTCACAACATGTGGAGCATTAATATAAGTTAAGATATACAGTTGTTCAGTTTGGAACAGTAAATCTTTTAAGACTTCAGGTTGTTAATGAATCTTTAGAATAAATAAATGACGGTTTATGGAGTATGAACCTTCACCTTAAAAATAAACTAAACCTTAAATAAACTCAAGTGAATGCTGGGATTTTTTTTTCTTTTGTAGTTTTTACATCTGAATTTCTTGATAACCATCAAAAGACAGCAATAGAATGGATTCTTGTACAATGCTTACATAGGAAGATGAAAGGTTGTACAAAACTAAATCATAGCTGCTTAACTTTATAAAACATGTTAGTGCTCTCTTGAGTTTGTTTTATCCTAACTCTCTTGTTCTCTCAGTTTTGCTGCTCACACAGTTTCATTCAGAAAAGGTCAAATCAGTGGCGCCGATCATCACTTAAGAACTGGTCTTACTGAGGGAGCTTTGAACAAGAAAAAAAAGGTAAAAGATCAGAGATGGCGACTGCATGTTTAAAGATAAGGTCATCCTTGTGATTTACAGTGCGTCATAAACACAGGTCCAACCTCATGCCTGCATACAATCGACTGGATGGGTCTTTGTTTCTTTATGCCTCATTAATTACTTGTCATCAAATGCTAAACTAGTGTGTACATCCGAACCAGATATGCAAAACATTTTGCAACACTCGCACGCTGAGGTTGTAGGTGGAACATTTCCCACCAGATTCTTCAGGTTTATTTCCTCTGATGTTTAGGAGCGAGCAGTAAGACACAAGGGAGAGAGCGTACAACACAAACGTCTTTCTGCTAAGTCGTGAACTTAGAATCCATTTAAGAGAAACGGATCTGAAATTTCTACAAAAGGAGGCCGAAAGGAAGTGTGGTCAAAACACAACACGACTAAGTGCTCTGTTCTTAACAAGAACAGAGACATGTAGACAACAGCTACCCTTTAGCATGTAGCTGACAAAGAGGGGAGCGTACATCCACAAGCAACAGCAACGGACACCAGTGTAAGTCAACAAATTGGCACATTAGTATTTATCCCTAGAAATGTAACTAAGTACAGACATGTTCTGGTCCATCCCAACTGTGTGGAGAAATCTCCAAAGCTACTTTCAACTCAGTGGTGGATTCCTCAACTCCTTGTTAACAGTCTATTTTGATCATTTGTTTGCAAAATTGACTTAATCTACTTCTATTTTGTTGATAATGGACTTCATCATCTGAATTATTGGGTTTCACTTCATTTGTACAAGACATCAAGGTGCGAGTAGAGTAGCTGCATTTTATTTCAGTCCCATTTGCCACTTCATTGTTTTCCTGACTGTTTTCCTCATTGTTTTCCACCAAGGGGACAGGTGTGCGACAAAACAACATCGATCATGTTCTTTATGATGGGAGGCTGTGGGTGGAGGCTGTGTGGCAGGTGGTGGGACACGCACATCTCCCAGGCGTCCAGCAGCTGGACGTTCACCCCTTTGAATATTTCCTTGACGACTTTATAACACTGCAGGGCATACCAGTCACTGCTGGTCCATATCTCACTGAGAACTGACCCTTTGGGATTAGAAGTCCTGATGATGACCAGTGTGTCTGGAGATCTGGTCAACAGCTCCACCACTGCCCTCTTTATGTTTAGGAGACGTCTGATGTAGACCTCAATAGGGAAAGAGGTGAAGTGTGCCCAGACGCTAATCACTATGACGGTGTTGGGGCCTCCGGCCACAGTTCTCAACTCGGTGGCAATGTGACGTGTCTCAACAGCCATCATGGGAGTGTAAAGGATGGGGGTGCCATGGCATCGGTACGTCAGTAAGATGTTGTTTTTGTAATCCAAGGCCAGGTAAGGTCCTGCCGTCCCAGGACTTTTAAGGTCAAACTTCTTGATATCTGAAATTATAACAGAGAACAGGTCAGACTCCAGCGTGAAGTAGTCTCAGCCGTTGCTGGACATTTCTGACACGTGTCTACCTGGGGTTGTTTGAATTAAAAATTCAAAAAATTGTCTGACAGTGGAGTCTCCATAGAGGTGGACCACTTTCCCTTTCAGACACTGGGTTCTCGCTGTGGCGTTGTTAAACTGACGGACTGTGGTGCCGTCTAATGCTTGCCACGCTCCCTGGTAGTAATAACCAGCAGGTTTAGTCTTCACTATTTCATTGGCTCCATCTGGAAAGTAAACAGGGAGGTTAAAACTTTCTTTTGTCACTGATTGTAACTATTCACCTCTAACCTTTGCAAATATTTACTTTCACCAGTAACTTCTACTACAGTGGTTTCTGCTGCTGCACCAGGTGATATGGGACAGAGTATAGATTCAGATTGACCTACTACTCACATAATAGCTTCATGCTAAGATTCAAGAGATCGCTTCACCCTGGATAAATAAATAATGTCATTTGAAAATGACATTATTTGTTGGACAGTCATGAAGTACTCTTCAAGCAAAACTACTAGGTAATCACACACGGGAAAGGCAGTGCATGAAAAGTTTGGAAAGTATTTCTGGTGTCAGAAGAGTTCCAGAAAAAGAAGTGGGAAGATGTTGTGTAAAAAGTGCTTGCCAGACTGTCTAAAAGTTCATTTCTGCTGCCTCACCTATCTTATGTTGGTAGAGGTTAGGTGGTTAATAAATAACCTTGTTGCCTTGACACTCTCATTGTTGATTTCTTCTGGTTGGACGGACTGGCTAAGAGTTGTTCGATATCTACCGTTGGGTGAGAGCGGCTAGAGTTTCAATCTGCCATGGTTGGACCATATGTATTTGCTTGTGAGGAATCTGGTTGTTCTAGTTCTAAAGCAAAACTTTTCCTCTAGGATTTCACTGGAATAACTCCTTTTACCAGGAAACTGAATGCTACACCTGTAATGTGACTGTTTGAGGAGCCTCTGGTTGGAAGTAGTTTGGTATCATTTCAACTCCAACTTCTGTCAGTGAGTGATCCAGTTGGAGGGAGGCTGGCTGTGTAAAACTATGTCTGTAATTTGTATTTATCCTGTATTTCTATTGCAAAATTTGCCATAAACAAGAAAATATGAGATACTTTGAGAGAGTATACAAGATACTCTACCGTATTTTTCTGACTATAAGCCACTACTTTTTTCCCCACGCTTTGAACCATGCAGCTTATAACCTGATGCGGCTTTTCTGTCGATTTTCCTTCAACCACCAGGGGGCTCTTCAACAGGAAGTGAATCATTGGAAGTCAAAATTGGAAATTAAAGAAGAAAGTGCTAATTTTCATTTAGAACAGTGTTCCTCAACCTTTTTTGGGTCAGCGCCCCCCTATCCATGACCCAGGTCCTTCACCGGCCCCCATCAGAGAAAATGTAGGATAAGAACAAAATCTGGTTCTTAATTAAATCCTACCGAGTCAGACTGAAAGTGTCATGGAGTCATCAGTCTCATGACATTAACAGTGACATGAAAAAAATAGTATTGAAGAAATAAATATATCAAATCTAATCAAAAACAAATAAGTGATAAATTCCTTATTATCGCCTGTAAAATATATTTATTCTAAGTATTAGATGTGGTCTCAACAAACCCATGGCACTTCAACAATATTATTTTACCTTTTATCAGAAAATGTCTGATTGTTCTTGCCATACAGTCCTCTGTATTAATTATTGCTCGAAATGTCTTGCCATCACAGTTTATTCCCCTGTATTTACTTTAGTTTCTTAGTTTATTCTTGCATTTTGTTCTTCATTCATTTCCATTTGGTTT